GTAAGCACCGAGTTAATTGTGTATTAGTTGCAACCTCTCAAACCTTATTGGCTTAACCCAGTTCATTCTTCTGTTGGTAAATACAGTTCCAACACTGGTGAGTAAATCCTCTTCGTTATGTTTAAAGTTTATTTTGCATTTTAAATACAGTTTTGACACAGTTTAACATGAATCTTTGTATCTTGCATGTTAGAAAACATTTAACACGAACATGGATCAGTCTTTTAATCTTGTCTTTATTATGCATATAAACATTAAGTTTCAAGAATATATTCTCCACGAGACACCTGTCTCTCAGTGTACGTACACCGAGTGTCTCTCAGTGTACGTACACCGAGTGTCTCTCAGTGTACGTACACCGAGTGTCTCTCAGTGTACGTACACCGAGTGTATTTTAATATTAGTTTTACTGATTAAAGTGTACTTTACTGGTGGTGTACAGACGACATGTAGCCTTAATCACCTTCGTGTAGTCGACAGGTTTCAAACTTAATAAACCAATTTAAACATGTGTGTGTTGCTTTATAAATAAGAGTCGAGTAGCACATGAGCGGCTGCTTTACGAAATTATAATAGACATTGAGTTCAGAAAGTTTACACACACAGGTCAAGGAAATTCACTACCTCATCTTGTTTTCTCTTCCATATATATATATATAAAATATATATATATATAAATATATAAAATTTTATATATATATAATATATATATATATATATATATATATATTTATGTTAATGTAAAAATTAATAATTTTGTACCAAAAGAACCTCAGAAAACTTTCCTAACCTTATTATAACAAGCTCAGTTTAATTTAGTTTAATCCAACAACAAATATTTTATATAAGTTTACAATAATTTAATATTAAACGAACACAATGACACATTTTTTTCGTTATGTTCAGAATGATTTTTTTGCCTAGTGGGTACTAGACGATGTTTGCCCATACCCCGGGCACCATACCCCCGAGCACCATACCCCCGAGCACCATACCCCCGAGCACCATACCCCCGGGCAACATACCCCCGTCAACATACCCCCGGGCACCATACCCCCGAGCACCATACCCCCGAGCACCATACCCCCGAGCACCATACCCCCGGGCACCATACCCCCGGGCACCATACCCCCGGGCACCATACCCCCGGCACCATACCCACGGGCACCATACCCCCGGGCTACCATACCCCCGGCACCATACCCCCGGCACCATACCCCCGGGCACCATACCCTCGGGCACCATACCCCCGAGCACCATACCCCCGGGCACCATACCCCCGGGTACCATACCCCCGGGCACCATACCCCCGGGCACCATTACCCCCGGGCACCATACCCCCCGGGGACCATACCCCCGGGCACCATACCCCCGAGCACCATACCCCGGGCACCATACCCCCGGGCACCATACCCCCGGGCACCATACCCCCGGTCAACATACCCCCGGGCACCATACCCCCCGTCAACATATCCCCGCGCACCATACCCCGGGCACGATACCCCCGTCACCATATCCCCGGGCACCATACCCCCGGGCACCATACACCCGGGCACCATACCCCCGGTCACCATACCCCCGGCATCATACCCCCGATCAACATACCCCTGGACACCATACTCCCGGCACCATACCCCCGGGTACCATACCCCCGGGTACCATATCCACGGGCATCATACCCCCGGGCACCATACCCCCGGTCAACATACCCCCGGGCACCATACCCCCGGTAACCATACCCCCTGGCACCATACCCCCGGTCAACATACCCCCGGTCACCATACCCCCCCGGCACCATACCTCCGGGCACCATACCCCCGGGCAATTTACCCCCGGTCACCATACCCCCGGGCACCATACCCCCGGGCACCATACCCCCGGGCACCATACCCCCAGGCAAACCCTACCCCCGGGCACCATACTCCCGGGCACCATACCTCCGGGCACCATACCTCCGGGCACCATACCCGCGGGCACCATACCCCCGGGCACCATACCCCGGTCACCATATCCCCCGGGGACATACCCCCGGGCACCATGCCCCGGTCACCATACCCCCGGGCACCATACCCCCGTCACCATACCCCCGGGCATCATACCCCCGGGCACCATACCCCCGGGCACCATACCCCAGGCACCATACCCCCGGGCACCATACCCCCGGGCCCCAATTAAACCCCCGGGCAAACCCTAAACCCCCCGGGGACCCCTACCCCCCCAGCCCCATACCCCCGGGGACCATACCCCCGGGCAACCCTACCCCCGGCCCCCATACCCCCCGGGAACCATACCCCCCGGGGACCATACCCCCGGGCAACCCTACCCCCCCCCCACCTACCCCCCCGGGCAACATATCCCCCGGCCCCCAAAACCCCCGGGCACCCTAAAAACCCCCGGGCACCCCTATCCCCCGGGGACCATACCCCCGGGCAACCCAAACCCCCGGGCCCAAAAATCCCGGGGACCAAAAACCCGGGACCATACAAACCCGCACCATACCCCCGGGCACCAAAACCCCCGGGCATCAAACCCCCGACAACAATACCCCCGGACACCAACCCCCGGGGACCATAAACCCCGGCACCATACCCCGGGCATCATACCCCCCCGGTCTCCATACCCCCGGGCAACATACCCCCGGCACAATAAACCCCCGGGAACTATACCCCCCCGGGGGACCAAACCCCCGGTAAACATACCCCCGGTCAAACCCTACCCCCGGGCACCAACCTCCGGCACCATACCCCCGGTCAACTTACCCCCCGGGCAAACCCTAGCCCCCGGAAAAAAACCCCCGGGGGACCATACCCCCGGCCAAACCCCCCCCTAATACCCCCGGGCACCCAACCCCCGGGCCCCATACCCCCGGGCACCAAAACCCCCGGCACCCTACCCCCGGGCAAATACCCCGGCCCTAACCCTACCTCCGGGGACCATAAACCCCCCCGGGGACCATACCCCCCCGGGGCAACCCTACCCCCGGTCACCAAAACCCCGGGCACCATACCCCCGGCACCATCCCCCTCCCATAACCCCCCGGGGGTCATACCCCGTCCAATTTTTAAATTTTTCCCCCCGGGGGAAAAACCCCCGGGCAAAAAATTAACCCCCCCAAAAATCCCCGGGAAGTACCCCCCGGACCTACCCCCCGGGCACCATCCCTCTGGGAAAAAAAAGGGAAAAAAAAAAAAAAAGAAATAAAAAATAAATTTAAAATAAAAAATAATTTGGGAAAATAAAGGGGAAAAAAAAAAAAAAAAATTTTTAAAAACCCCCGGTTTCAAACCAAAAAAAACCCCCTTTTTTTAAAAAAATACCCCCGGCCTATCCCCCGGGGGCGCCCAAAAAAAACCCCCGGGAAAAACCAAATTTCCCCCGGTCCCCCCAATTTTTTCCCCGGCACCTTTACCCCCGGGGTCCAAAAAATAAATTCCCCCGGAAAATATTCCCCGGGAAAATACAAAAAACCCGGAACCAATTTTAAAAAAAACACCGGGCCCCCCATTAAAAAACCCCGGTTTTAACCAATAAACCCCCGGGGGCACCAATACTCCCCAAAAAAAATAAAATTTTAAAATTACCCCCGGGACCCAAACCCGGGGGGCCCAAAAAAAAAACCCCACCTGCTTCCAAAACCCCCGGCTCCAAAAAACCCCCCCCCGGTCAACATTCCCCCCGGCTCAATCCCCCCGGTTTAAACCCCAAATTTTCCCCCTCCCCCTACCCCCGGTAAAAAACCCCGGTCCCATACCCCCCAAACCCCACCTTTTTCCGGGGCCAACCATCCCCCCCCCCTTTTTAAATTTACCCCCCCCCCTCCAACCCTTATAACCCCCCCCCCCTTTAAACAACCCCCGGTCACCATTTCCCTACCCCCGGGCCCCAACCCCTAAAACCCCCCACCCAAAACCCAAACCCCCCGGGACCATTTAAAACCCAAACCCCTTTTCCCAAAAAACCCCCTTGGGACCCATACCCCCGGCCAAAAACCCCCCGGTCAAACCTTTCCCTCCCCACCATTTTCCCCCGGGCAACCCATACCCCCCCTCCGGGTTTTTTCCCCCCAAACAACCCTCCCCTCACCAAATTACCCAACCCAACCCCTCCCCCGCACCCCCTCCCCCGGGCACCCCCCTACCCCCCCCAAACATACCCCTCACCAATCGTTTTGAAAATTTTTTTCCCGAATTTTTCCTTTTTCCCCCCCAAAAACATACCAACCGAAATTGAAATTTGAAATGGCCTTACAAAACCGTGGAAATACTTTTTGGATTTTTTTCTTTTTCCCCCGGTTTCCAAAACCCCAAACCCCATAAAACACATAACAACACCAAAACAAAAATAAAATAAAATAAAAAATAAAAAAAAAAAAAAAAAACACACCACCCACACAACCCAACCCAAACCAACAAAACACACCCTAAAAAACCAAAATTTTTTTTCAAAAAACAATAACCATAACCCCCTTTTATTTACAAAAACAAACAACCAAAAAACAAAAAAAAAAACAACAAAAACAAACACTAAAAAAGGAAAATGGGAAAAAAATTCATTGAATTAACGTGGGTGAAGAATTTAGGCTGGTAAGATGTTGAATAAAAGTTCCCTGATCCGTCGAAAAGGTTGAAAAATCCCCCTGAAAACTGCAAAAAAAGGTATAAATAAACCCTAACCCAAAAAATTTTATAAATTATACCCAAAAAACCCAAACAGGGATAAAATACCGATAGCCCACAATTTAAAAAAACCCGATACCCAACAAGGGGGAAAAAAAACCCCGAAACCCAACAAATAAATGAAAATTGAATCACCCACATTTTAACTTTACATTTTTCCATTTTAAAACAAAAATTAAACATCCACCACATTAACATTAACATTTTACACCAAACAAACACCCCCAAAAACAAAAAAAAATATTCAAAAACATTTTTTTCTGTATACGTATTTTTTTTTGCAATGTTTTTATGTATTACAAATTCTCAAAAAGAAAAAAACTG